TCATTCGTGCCCGCGCGTTGCCCGCGCGGGCGCACGCGCCGTCCATCCATTATCGTTCATGCGTGCGGGCGTTCTTGCATATTGCGCGTGGGTCGGCCAACTGGAGTGCAAGTGTGTCTTGATTGTGCGGTTGATGATCGCGTATGTTCCCAAACGATGACTTCTCGACCCCCAAGACAGATTTGGGATGGGCCCCGCGATTCTTCCAAAATGTGAATTCACATTTTCATTTTTCCCAAAATGTGAATTCACATTTTCCTTTTTCCCAAAATGTGAATTCACATTCTGGCCCCTTCATAAAGAATCCTACACAAAATTGCAAAATGTGAATTCACATTTTCCTTTTTCCCAAAATGTGAATTCACATTTTCCTTTTTCCCAAAATGTGAATTCACATTTTGCTTTTTCCCACAATGTGAATTCACATTTTGCCCCGGCCTTCGAGAGCCCCAAAACTGTGGCGCAGTGTTCCGCATGCCAGATTGGCTGGGCAGATTTCGACACTCACCCGACCGCTTTCGTGTGTTCCAGCCTGTTCTTGTTGCGCCCTTAGCGCACGTTGCCTTCGTCGCCTTTCCCGAGCCCCCCGCCCCCTTGCTTCCTTTCCCCTCAAGTCTCGCGCGCGGGTGCAGGCGGGGGGCTTCAATTAGTTCCCCCGCCGAACACAGCAATCGAGGATGCATCGCCCATTCATGACTTAAAAAAACATCATTGCCGGGACCCTGCGCCCGACCCCCACTTTCACCCTCCAAGTCGAGTAGGACGAAATGTGCACGAAAACGGAATCCCGGCGCAAAGCCGAGGCCGCGCGGCCAAGGAGACAACGCCAATTGCAAAACAGCTGGGCAGTCGCAGTAGTGAGTGGTCCAAGCTGTCCTGCGCCCCCGCGCACCCGAGCTTGCAGGTCCCGCGCCATGCGCTATCCACCATGTGGCGCGTCCTGCACGTACTCGCCGACCCATTCCACCATGTCCTGAAAACCGCTGACAGCACCCGCGGCGGGCAGCGGGTTGCCACAGTCAGTGGCCGTTCTTGTGCACGGCGCGCCACTGTGCCAGGCAGGGTCAGGGTCCAAAAACATAAGGGATTTGCTACATTTCTGAAATTCGGAGGCACCCGTGACGCAGATCGGTAGGGTCAGGGTCGAAAAACAAACAGGTCCTGACACTGCTTCACGGCGGCGCCCAGACCTCATGATTTAGCTTTTGCATCTCCCATTATCCGAGACAGGGGGGCGGGGGCATGGGGCGAAGCCCTTACGGATCACTACCAAATCTGCAGACCACACCTTACTGCTTCATTTTTCAAGCAGGGCTGAGCAGTGATATTCCTGCAGTCCTGGGGCCCGAAGCCGGGGTAAAACGCCCGGTGCGAAAAAACTGCAACGCCCAGATCGCAGGGTCCCCCATCCACCTCCTCCACCTCCTCCTCCTCCTCCGCCTGCCCCTCGCCAATTGGGGCGGTACTGGCCTCGCGTTTCGGGGGTGAACCTTCCGCGATCCGTGAACCTGCCGCTCGCGCTCCAGATCAACGGATCCCCAATCCATGTCAGCGTGTGCTCGATACCATACCTCCTCCCCTCATCACCTCCCTCATCCCTCCCCCCTCCCCAGAGTTCGGAAGTCGCGTTTTGTCACAACGTAGACCCCCAGAGGTCTGGACCACTTCCCTGGGACCTGTTTTCATCCTGGGACGTTTGTTAATGGTCCTGGGGCATGGTGAGGGCCGCAAATGCCGAAAACAACAAAACAACTGCAGCTGGGTTTCCCCCCTCCCCGCTCCTCCTCCTCCTGCTCCTCCTCCTCCTCCTTCTCCTCCTGCCTTTCTCATCTGCCAACAGCCGCTTCAGACCAGCGCCCGGGGCAGTGCGACGAACGCACACACACACACACAGCGTTGGGACCCTCCCACCCCTCACCGGGGTGCTCTCGAAGGACGCGCCCGGAGCGGCCAGCATCTGGAACTCGTCCTGGAAGGGGTGGGATCAAGGAGGAGGAGGAAGAGGAGGAGGAGGTCAAGAGGAGGAGGGAACGGAAATGGAAATGGGCCCCATTGCGGTGCGATATGATTCAACACTCTAGAGGACGCCCCTTGAGCTAACCCACGAAGGAGACGAACCAGAAGACGGACCTCAGCGAGGGTACATGGCCAGAGCTTGAGGAAGGCGATTACCCCGTACATACCTCACCTCAAATGGATGCCTCACCACACTGATAGCGTAACAGACTTGGCTGACATGAACTCGGCTCGATTCGGCCCTACTATGAGCCACAGATAACTGGGCAACCTTTCATGTGTGTCATCTAGATCGCCTCCTCCACAACCTTGCAAGACAGCAACACATGTGTAGTCTCTACCCTCCTGCACCCAACGAGCGACACAGCGCAAATAACGAGCCCAGGCACGATGCCTGACTACACTGAACTGACTGAAAGATGCGGAGGGGAAGATACTGACGCCAGCACGCTGCCAACCGAACACCATGCCAGAAAGTGTTCAACCCGATCAAAACAAAGTGTGACAGGCCTGAGCCAAACCCCGCCACTGAAAAAGACACGCGGGCCTTGACCCAAGTACATATCTCAGCTGGCCCATCGCGGCACTGCAGGAAAAAACGCGCCGACGGACCGCCGTCTCGCACAGATACTGATAGCGACTGCCCCACCGATGCCCGCCTTCCCGCACGTGCTGATCCCACCGATGTAACTGATAACGATCGGGGCCAGCTTCGCCTCCCACCGCGAGCTACGCACCAACAGAAATAGTTTCCACTGCACGCCTTTCTCGCACATGCCGATCCAAGCATTGGCGTAGAGGCCGAAAAGGTTTGAAAACCGTCCCAAAATCCGAGCAGCCCCAGAGGCACTGGCCCACTGCGGCACTGAACCTGAGAACGCGCCGAAGGGCCGTGCGACCAACCTTTACGTAGCAGCCACTGCCGAGCCTTTGGTGCGCGGGCCCATGGCGACACGGTAGCAGAAGGCGCGCCGACGGGCCGCGCACAGCACTGGTATCTGCACGAAGGGCATCCTCGTGACAGGAGTGCCGCGCAGCCAGAAGCCGAGGCAGACCATGCCCAGGTCGAACACGTCAACCAGCCCCGTCAAGGAGGCCAGGTGCACGAAGACGATCTGGCTGAAGGGCACCAGGACCTGCCGGAGGACGGACGCTTCAGGTAGACCGCAGCTGTTCTCACGATGCGTCCCACTTCGTCGCCCAGAAAAGCTGCACTCACGGTGCGGCAGCCTGGGCGTCCCCCAAGCACCACGTGCAGGCGTGGAACGTGACGTCGAAACTGCCCAGACGTGACGTCGAGCCACATATGTCTGAGTCGAAGAGGAGGAGGAGGAGGAGGAGGAGGAAGAGGAGGAGGAGGGGGAGGAGGAGAAGGAGGAGGAGGAGGAGATCGAGAAGAAGAGGAGGAGATCGAGGAAGAGGAGGAATATGAGGAGGAGACTGAGGAGGAGGACCTCCTCCTCCTCCTCCTCCTCCTCCTCCTCAACCTCCCCAGCCCCAGATCTGGGCGCTGCATTGTGTCACAAGGCGCTCTCGCCCAGTTTTGAGCCCCAGGACGTTCACGGATCGATCTGACTCTGAAAAAGACGCAGGAAGATGTGTTGAGTTCGAGGGGGAGGCGGGGGAGGAATGAGGAAGGAAATGATGAGGTAGACGAGGAGAAGGAGGGGGAGGAGAAATAGAGAGATCTGATTTCTTTTATGGTTTTCGGGAGGCTTCGGATGCAGTTTCATATCTGCGAACTCGCTTCCCGGTTTCCAGAGATTCTGGCGGGGTATGGAAGGATCTGGGGGATTTCGGAGCGGGAGGGGAAGGAGAAAGAAGAGGGGGCAGGAGAGGGAGGCGGAGGGAGGAAGGAGAGGGGAAAGAATAGCAGATCGAGGAAAACAACTCGGATGCGGTAAGCTAGGGGATGGAGAAGCAAGCGTGGCCTGCCACTTCCTGCACGCTGCCTGCCAGGAGGCCCCCGCCCTGCTGCGCGAGAAATCCGCGCGCTGTCCCTCCGCCCCCTCTGCTCGGCAAAAGAGGCCCCCTCTCCCGCTGCCCTTCTTCTGCGCCGTGTGCTTCCTCCTCCGAGGACGCCAACGGCGCCGCTGCCGTTGCACTATCCCCCCTGCTAATCCACCCTCCTCCCACTCTGTGACAACTAGGTCGTCGTCGTCGTCGTCGTATCCACCGTCGCCATCCTCGTCGTCAACTCCCTCATCGCCCAGACCCGTTCTGCTCGTGGAGAGCTTGGGGCCCCTCCTGGATCAGCTGCCTCTCACCGTTCGGGGAGATCGGGGAGACGTGAGACTCAAGCTCGGGGGACTCGGGTTGGCCTTGCGGAGCCATCAAGAAAATGACGAGACCCAGACTGAGATTTGGTGTGCGCTCCCGCTGCGAATATGCTATGAAAGCTGAGCTGATAAAACCTGACATGCGTTGGTTGAAAAGTGTTAGTGAAACCGAAATCTTTGAGCAGGGACCGACCCTCCCGGCATTCCTATAGTCCTACCACGAAATCTTCTTAGAACCCCAAAATGTTCTCATAACAAAAACAAGGTTCTTAGAACATGAACCCCATGCGATGAACCGAGACACCCTCCGCCAGAACTGTTCCAAGAACACCTCGTGGGAGCCACAAGAGGTTCTCAGCACACTCTTCGGTGGGGCCATAGGCGAGCCAGGACGCTTCGCCACTGCTTGAAATCTGGTGAACGCGAGTCTTACGTTTCTCCGACGGCAGAGCTTTGACTACCTACCAGACCACCCCAACGCAACCCGAAGACCCGGATTTCGGGTTGGGGGGGGTATGGGCTCCATACGTGCTTTTTCGATGTTCCCCGACCCCCCCCAACTGGAAATGGAGGGCAAATTGAGGCCTTCGGGTTGGGTTGGGGTGGTTTGGTGGGTGGTGAAGCTTGGGGCCCCTCCGGGGCCAGCTGTCCCCCGCCGCCGCTCGCGCAGGCCCTCGCCGCTGCTCGCGGGCGGCCGGCGCCCCTCCGGCGCCGCGCGCGGCGCCGCGCGAGCCCGTCGGAGAGCCCCTGCGCGGAAAAAGCACGCGCTCCTCTTAGTGCCAGGCCTTCTCTGAAGGGGCCCTGGGACACACAACTAGATACACACAAATGACAGGATCCCCCATATTTTCCCACATCTTCTGGGTGTTTGTCTTCCCCCCCACCACTTCCCAGATTTTCCCACATCTTCTGGGGGATCGACGATTCATTGTGTCTGCGTGTTTTTTCCCCTCCTGATTCTCTCTGAGACACATGTCTCCTCGAACGCTTTGCCTGCAAATCGGGTGGCACCGTCGCCCTTGTCGAGCTCTGGCCTGATCTGATCACAAAGCTGTGGCGAAAAGAGGGTGCGCGCACATGCAAGACCAGGGGTAAGACACCAGCGTAACGAAACCATCCACGGCGAGAGGCCAGAAATCCCACGCTTCGTCGATGAGGCGCCCTCCTCCTACCCCTTCCCCTTCGCGTCCGCCCCTTGCCAGCGCGCGGCGCGCGGGCGGAGGGAGGGGGTGGTGATACTGCGACGCGGGGTGAGGAGAGGCGATGACAAGGTTAGGACGAGGAGGCGGACGACGACGATGCTAAAATTGCCCGCTCCTTGCTGGGGAATTCGTACTCATAAAGGGCCCACTCGCCAGCGGTGGCGGTGTCCGTGGTCAACAGGCGATCCTCGAACTCCTTGTTCGAGCCTCCCCAAACCGCCTCAACGCGGTAGCCAGAGCAGCAGATCACTACTCATCGTTCTTCTGCTGCCGCTTCCTCCACGATGTCCTTCAATTTCTTAAGGGATTCTGGCTTCGGGGCCGCGACTATTGCATGATTTGGACGGGTTTGTCGCTCAAGTAAATCAATTTGCCAAGATTAGTTGCCTTGGGGACGCGAACATTGCGCAATTTACAAGGGTTCGTGGTCTCGGGAGCGTAACTGTGGCGTAATGTACGTGGGATCGTGGCCCCAGAGGCGCGAACATAATGCAATTTACTAGAGATCGTGGCCTCGGGGCGCGGATACGGCGTGTTTTACGAGGGATCGTGCCTTCGGGGACGCGAACGCGGTGCAATTTACGAGGGATCGTGGCCTCGTGGACGCGAACCCAATGTAGCTTGCAAGGTATTATCGCGTTTTGGGCACCAATCCCAAGTATTTCTACGTGTCCCACGGACCCGCAGAAATTCAGACAACGCGACTCGGGGGTGGTAAGTCAGTCTTTTTCGGGTCCACCCCCTCGCGCGGACTTCAACAGTTTACAATTGGAAGCAGAAAGCAGGATTTTAACTTTGGAAACCGGAAACTGGAACTGGCGCAGGGAGCAGCAAGCCTAATCCTCGCAGCCTAATAGGCCCACAAGGGGGCAGGCGGATTATGGGGGTGGATGTTCTGCCCTCCCTGCCTCCCTCCCTTCCTCCCTCCCTCCCTCCTCAAGCCTCCCGCCTCCCGCCTCCCGCCTCCTGCCTCCCTCCTTCCTCCCCCCTCCTCCCTCCCTCTCCCTCCTCAAGCCTCCTGCCTCCCGCCTTCTCCTTCTGCCTCCCTCCTCCCTCCTCCCTCCTCCCTCCTCCTCCTCCTCCTCCCCTCCCTCCTCCCTCCCTCCTCCCTCCTCCCTCCTCCTTCCCTCCTCATCCCTGAGCCTCCTCCTCCTCCTCCTCTTCCTCCTCTTCCTCCTCCTCCTCCTCGTCTTCCGCCTCCTCCTCCTCTCCCTCCTCCCTCCCTCCCCCTCCCTCCCTCCCTCTCCCTCCTCAAGCCTCCCCGCCTCCGCCTCCCGCCTCCCGCCTCCCGCCCCCGCCTCCCGCCTCCCCCCTCCTCCTCCCCCCCCCCCCTCCTCCCTCCTCCCTCCTCCGTCCTCCTCCTCCCTCCTCCCCCCTCCCTCCTCCCTCCTCCCATCCTCCTCATCCCGACCCTCCTCCTCTCCTCCTCCTCTTCCTCCTCCTCCTCGTCTTCCGCCTCCTCCTCCTCTCTCCCTCCCTCCCTTCCTCCCTCTCTCCCTCCCCTCCCTCATCAAGCCTCTCCCGCGCCTCCCGCCTCCCGCCTCCCGCCTCCTCCCTCCTCCCCCCCCCTCCTATCCCTCCTCCCTCCTCCGTCCTCCGTCCCTCCCCCTCCTCCCTCCTCCCGCCTCCCTCCTCCTCCTCCCTCCCTCTTCCTCCTCCTCCTCCTCCTCCTCCTCCTCCTCCTCCTCCTCCTCCTCCTCCTCCTCCTCCTCCTCCTCCTCCTCCTCCTCCTCCTCCTCCTCCTCCTCTTCTCTCCCACTGTTCGTTCCCTGACTGCGACGACGACAACAAACCCTCGAGCGGTCCGCGCGGATCCTCGGCGGCGCGGCCAGGTGTCCGGAGCTGCCTGGCTGCCTGGGAGCCTCCAGAAGCAAAGTATCAGGTCGGGCATGTCCCCCCACAGGCGGATTTTGGGCTTAACATTCGAAAACGGATAAGAAAACCCTAAAATAGTCCAAAAAATCATAAAATCGTCCCCTGACCAACTTTTTTACTTAATTTGCATATTCCTCCTGCAGAGGGCAGCGCGGCAGGGGCTTTGTGGGCCCCGGAAACGGCAGGGCCGTTTTTCCACCGTTTCCAAAAAAATGTCCCTTGAAAATGGAAACGGCAAAAAAACGGCGACCGGAAACTGCAAAAAAACGGCTCCAGGATTGGAACCGGAGCCGGAACCAATCAAAAAACGGCGACGGAACCGGTACAAAAACGGCGTCGGAACCGGCAAAAAAAACGGCAAAACGGAACCGGTAAAAAAACGGAACCAGGGCCCACTAAGGGCAGGGGCAGGCCGCTCGCGCGCTGGAGCCGCCGGGGGGGCGCTCGGCAGACGAGTGGTTTGGCTGCAAAAGGGGATAGGCGGCGAGGGGCGGCCGCGGAGCGCAGGGGGGGCGGAGGAGGGCACTCCCCGCGGAAGGCACTTCGGGCCAGACGCCAGAGGCGTGCAAAAGCTCTGCGGGCGCGGCCGCAAGAAGGCCTCGCAGGAGGCCCAGCCCTGAGAGAACCCGCGCGCGAGGTGCAGCTGACAGGGAGCCCGGCGCAGCCGAACGCAGCAGCTCCTGCCACGGCTGGCGGGGAAGTCACCGCGCAGCGCGAGGAGCGAAGAAACCCAGGACACCCTGACGAAGAGTGTATATATATATATATATATATATATATATATGGCTTCTTGCTGCGCGCCCCCACTGCAACGGGTGCGTCAAGAACGAGAGCCACCTCGCCGAGTGCACACAGGGTCCCGTGGACATGCCCAAAACGAAGGGGCATGCCAAGGTGGAGGGCCCCAAACGCGAAGAACGCCAGCCGCCCCATGCGGGCAATACTTCTGTCCATATCCACCGCAGTATGGAGTTTCGGGCTCCATTCCCAAGAAACCCGAGGCGCACTGGATATGGATAAATTTGCCCCCTAGGGGCTCGATGTTTATCCATACCCAGTGCGCCTCGGCCTTGTGGCGCCGCTTCCAACAAACGTCCACGAGGCACTGGATATGGACCTGAATCTCGCCCGCACCCCAACAGAAAACTGCAACTGCAGGTCCCTCGACGCCGCTGGCCTCCGACGCGCCGCGGGCGAGCCGGGCGGGCGGCCCCCCCGGGCCGCACTCGGGTCGGGCGAAAGGGGGGGATAGCAAAGGGGGGGGGTGAGAATCAGCTCACGTAGCTGATTTTCCCGGCGCCTCCCGGCGCCCATGTGTCCAGGAATGGGCCCGGCGGTGGGGCCGAAACCAGCTGCATGCAGCAGATTTCGCACGGGCGGGCCGCCCCTCGCGGGGCCGCACGGGCGGGCCGGGCGGGGCACGGCGAGCAGCGAGCGACGCATCCAGCGGGGCCTCCACGAGGACGACGCCGGCGGCGGCGGCGAGGGCGGCGACGAGGGCGGCGAGGGCGGCGACGAGGGCGACGAGGGCGACGACGACGACGAGGACGAGGACGCCAGCGACGACGAGGGCGACGAGGACGACGAACACGTCGAGGAGGAGGAGGAGGAGGAGGAGGACGAGGACGACGACGACGAGGACGACGACGCCGACGCCAGAGTCCAGAGGTCCAGCTGGAATTTCGAAGTCCTTATTCAGAATTCCGAAACCGGGACCCGAGATCTGGAAGCTGGAATCGAGAATTCCGGATTCCGGAAGCTGGAATTCCGACAAAAAATCGTGTCCAGAGGTCGAGCCCTACTCAGGAGAAGGAATCAGCAGTCCAGAGTCGCAAGATCCGAATGCCCAGTGTGAAGCTCCGACCCTGGAACCTGGAACCCAGAATCCAGGAGAGTTGCCTCAGGTCGGGCCTGTCCCCTTACAGGGGAAGTTTGGGCGAAAACTTACAGATCGTCAGTACACACTCCCAAAATATTCAAAAATGGTCCAAAAATCATCCCCTGACTATGTTTTGACTATTTTTGAATATCCCCCCTGTCGAGGGACAGGCCCGACCTAAGAGCTGCCTCCAGTGCGCGGCTTGCCGATCGCCGCAGGCGCTGCGGCAGCGGCGGCCCGCGCGCTCGGGCGTGGCCCCCGCGCGCGAAAGCTCGAGGCCGCGCACCGGGAGGTCACGCTGGCGAGGGATCGCTCCCGAAGTGCAAGCCGACGCCTGCCTTCGGCGCCAGCGCGAGGGGTGCGCAGCCTCCCTGGACGCAGACGACTGCAGGGAACGAGCAGGGGATGCTCTGCACGAGCATGATTTCTTGGAGGTCCGCGCGGACCTCTGAGAGATCGTGTTTACCCAGCTGTTCTTATTGGATCCTCCTCCTCCTCCTCCTCCTTCTCCTCCGCCTCCTGTTTCCTGTTTCCAGATGGCATGAGTGTTCCGCACGCTGCCGATCTCCTCTTTCTCCTCCTCCTGCTCCTCCTCCTCCTCCTCCTCCTCCTCCTCCTCATCATCATCATCATCATCATCATCATCATCATCATCATCATCATCATCATCATCATCATCATCATCACCACCACCACCACCACCACCATCATCATCATCATCGTCATGAGCAGCATCATCAGCATCATCATCATCGTTATCATCATCAGCAACATCATCAGTATAATTCATAATCATCATCACCACCACCACCGCCACCACCACCACCACCACCATCATCATCATCATCATCATCATCATCATCATCATCATCAGCATCATCATCATCATCATCATCATCATCATCATCATCATCATCATCATCATCATCATCATCATCATCATCTTGCCCAGAGTGCGCGGCTCCCACTGGGGCCGCACGAAAACCGTCGATCTGCGGCCGGAATCCATTTAATTTCAGGGGCAGGTCGCCCTTGTCCGTTTCCGTATGTATCGAGAGTGGCCAAGAGGGGGGTGTCCAAGAGGGGGGGGCAAATCATGGCGGGCGGCATGTGCGCGGCCCAGCGGGAGGGCCAGGGACGTAATGATATAAGAAGAGGCGCCATGAAATTTGGGGAGATATCAGGGCCCTCGCCATGATATCCACCCCCCCTAGTCATCACCCCCCCCTAGTCCGTTTCCGTGTGTAGGCAAGTCGCCCTGCCCACGGACCTCGTACGAGGCCAGCGCGGTCCGCCACGGGTGAACCGCTCGGTGGCGCTGCTGCCGCTGCTGCCCCCCCCCCCCCCGCCCCTCCGGGCACGGCCAGCCAGGAGTGCGCGTCGCTGGGCTCCTCAGCACGGCGCCCGGGGGGGGGTGGCTGTGTCGAGACGAGAGGGGAGAGGACGGCGGGAGGGACACGGGGGCTGGAGGCAAGAGAGAGAGAGAGAGATAGAGAGACAGAGAAAGCGAGAGAGAGATGCACAGAGAGAGAGAGAGAGAGAGAGAAAACAAAAAAAAAAAAAAAAAAAAAAAAAAAAAAAAAAAAACGGCAAAGCAACCTAACAGCGATGTGTAGGAGCATATCTGGAAGCATTCCCCTTAAGATTCAGATGAGAATCCAGTTGTAGAATTCTGCTGTTCTCGCAGTCGTAGTCGCATTCGCGATGACAGTCGCAGTGGCCTGCATCAGCCGCAGCCTCAGCCTCAGCCTGCCTCAGCATCAGCCTCAGCCTCAGCCTCAGCCTGCCTCAGCCTCAGCCTCAGCCTGCCTCAGCCTCAGCCTCAGCCTGCCTCAGCCTCAGCCTCAGCCTCAGCCTGCCTCAGCCTCAGCCTGCCTCAGCCTCAGCCTCAGCCTGCCTCAGGCCTGCAGCAGCCTCAGCCTGCATCAGCCTCAGCCTCCTCAGCCTGCCTCAGCCTCAGCCTCCTCAGCCTCAGCCTGCATCAGCCTCAGCCTCAGCCTGCTTCAGCCTCAGCCTCAGTCTGCCTTCAGCCTCGGCCTCAGCCTCAGCCTGCCTCAGCCTCAGCCTGCATCAGCCTCAGCCTCAGCCTCAGCCTGCCTCAGCATCAGCCTGCCTCAGCCTCAGCCTCAGCCTGCCTCAGCCTCAGCCTCAGCCTCAGCCTTCAGCCTCAGCCTCAGTCTGCCTTCAGCCTCGGCCTCAGCCTCAGCTGCCTCAGCCTCAGCCTGCATCAGCCTCAGCCTCAGCCTCAGCCTGCCTCAGCATCAGCCTGCCTCAGCCTCAGCCTCAGCCTGCCTCAGCCTCAGCCTCAGCCTGCTTCAGCCTCAGCCTCAGTCTGCCTTCAGCCTCGGCCTCAGCCTCAGCCTGCCTCAGCCTCAGCCTGCATCAGCCTCAGCCTCAGCCTCAGCCTGCCTCAGCATCAGCCTGCCTCAGCCTCAGCCTGCCCTGCCTCAGCCTCAGCCTGCAGCCTCAGCCTTCAGCCTCAGCCTCAGTAGCCTCAGCCTGCCTCAGCCTGCCTCAGCCTCAGCCTCAGCCTCAGCCTCAGCCTGCCTCAGCCTCAGCCTCAAGCCTCAGCCTGCAGCATCAGCCTGCCTCAGCCCTCAAAGCCTCAGCCTCAGCCTGCAGCCCGGGTAATGGAAATCTGGGAACTCGAAGACCACGAAATGGCCTACAGTTGGCTCCGGGCATTCAAAATCATGCCCAGGAATTGAGTTCTGGGAACTCGAAGACCACGAAGTGGCCTACAGTTGGCTCCGGGCTTCAAAATCATGCCCAGGAATGGAATTCTGGGAACTCGAAGACCACGAAGTGGCCTACAGTTGGCTCCGGGCATCCAATATGTGGCCCGGGAATGGAGTTCTGGGAACTCGAAAACCACGAAGTGGCCTACAGCTGGCTCCGGGCATTCAGAATGTGGCCCAGGAATGGAGTTCTGGGACCTCGAAGACCACGAAGTGGCCTACAGCTGGCTCCGGGCATCCAATATGTGGCCCGGGAATGGAGTTCTGGGAACTCGAAGACCACGAAGTGGCCTACAGTTGGCTCCGGGCATTCAAAATGTGGCCCGGGAACGGAGTTCTGGGAGGCCGAAGAGCACGAAGTGTGTGACTGTTTGCTTAAAACGAGCCCGGTTCTCGCCTGTCCGGCTCCCGCCCAGACCCCCCGGGGAGTCATCAGATGCTCTCTTTTGACCCCATTAGAAACCTATCAGTCTTCGCTGTTAGGTAAAAACAAAAGAGAGAGAGAGAGAGAGAGAGAGAGAGAGAGAGAAAAAAAAAAAAAAAAAAAAAAAAAAAAAAAAAAAAAAAAAAAAAAAAAAAAAAAAAAAAAAAAAAACGAGAGGGAGCGAGAGAGAGAGAGAGAGAGAGAGAGAGAGAGATCCGGCCCCCTTCCGGGGCCATCAGGCTGCGAGGCTTAGGCTTGCTGCTCCCTGCTCCAGGTGCGGGCTCCGGTCCCCAATTGTGATAGTTTCACTGCCTGCTTCCTCCTGCACATTGCCATTCTGCGTGCGATGAGGAGGAGGAGGAGGAGGAGGAGGAGGAGGAGGAGGGGAGGAGGAAGGAGGAGGAGGAGGAGGATGAGGAGGAGGAGGAGAGGAGGAGGAGGAGGAGAGGAGGAGAGGGAGGAGTGGGAGGAGGGAGGAGGGAGGAGGGAGGAGGGAGGAGGGAGGAGGGAGGAGGGATTTTTGTTTTTTCTTGTTTTTCCTTTGCGAGCCAGTGGGCAGGACCGAGGGCGGCGACAGTTAGCCGACATGCGCACAAAATGTGCGACAAACAAGACTGTGCTTGGCTGACCTACTAGCGAGGTTAAGCACAATCTTCTCAATCATATCCATTATCAACATCCGTCGGCCTAGCGAGCGGGGCCTCGTCCTCATCTGGGGCGATGGCCGTGTGGATCTGGCGCAAGGCTATGACCTCGGCCGCGGGCCGAACCGAGGAGGCAGCCTGGGAGGGGGAGGGGAACGCGGTCTCCTCCTCCGCAGCGACAGTGCCAGGCTGCTGCAGAGAGGAATGGCCGTCTGGCGCCTGTAAGGTACTCCCGCGCGCCAGTTCACGCGCTTGGATGCGAGCCAGCACCGCTAGCATCCCAGGCGTCTGCACCAGTCCCTCCATCCCGAAGGCAGGCCGAGAAACCTCTGGGGGAGGCGGAGTGGTGGCAGCATAACAAAGATAGTTCAGTCCTCTTCGAGAAGTGGACGAAACGCGATCCTCCTCATTCCTATAGTGAGAGTGGAGGCCATACATGATCCTAGGGAGGGTCGTCTTAGCCCCTGGCAACTTCTTGCCAATGCATTCTTGACCAAGCTTGAAACATCGGCGAGACGTGTAAGCCCCGCACGTGGTACAAAAAAACATGCTGGATACTTTCTGCTTGCGCGTGACGAACGTGTGCGCAAGGGTGTGGCCCTTGGTGAAATCCAGAACACCCTTCCAGGTACGATTAGGCCCTCGGCAGCCCAGTTCAGGCCGGCTGTCAGGGTCACTACTAAACGGAAGGCATCGCAGACACCTGGCACGGCCCCCATCGAGATTTTCCCAGCGGTGCCAGCCTCCAGTCCGTAAAAAATTACATCTCGGTCCAGACTGGGGCCGCTCGAATTTCTCGAGAGGGAAAGCACACAAAACTTTGGCCATGACCTTGGCCGCGAACACTAATTTATCAAGATCATCGCTAACTTCTTGGTACACCGCAGGAGAGGCCTGAGGGTGGAGGAGGAGAGCTTGCTTGGCTAAGGCGTCCGCAGCTTGGTTACCTATAGCGATCCTTCTCTCAGGCCCTGGGAGACTATCGATAACCGCTTGAGAGCGGTGGGCTGGCGTGTGAATAGCCTTGTACTCACGGCCCCGTTTCTCATGCAGAGAGGCCCCACGTCGCATTCCCGCGTAGCGGTGTTTTCTCGAGATCTGATGCTGCACTGGCGCGTTACACAACTTAGTGACGGTGGCACAATCAGAATAACGATCCCCGCTATGTTCAACAAACAAAGGCACCAGCGCCATGGCTTGGTGCTCAGCCGCCTGCGGGGTCTGCTGGAGCACGTCCAGCACCGTTCCTTGAGCATAAGCCACAATCGACCCTGACGGGCCCAAAAAGACCCAGGCGAAGGCGGCCCGAGACAACTCCCTCACAACATGACGAGCACAAGAACCGCCCATACAAATGTCCAGGCCCTGGAGGTCAATGGAGTCCCAAACAGTGCCCTGGCCCTCGGGATTGAACAGCTTTGGGTTGCGGTCGGAGCTGGGCGGAGGGAGCTTCGACCCTGGATGGTCCAACTTGAGCTCGTCCCAGAAGCAGTGATCCGCGCTCTCGGTCGCCTCCAGCAACCATTCGGATGGTCAACAGCCGCATCTTGCCGAGCCTGGACAGCCTCGTGATGCTGACATCTCCAGACGCGATGCCTGACTCCGTCAGGCTCGCCACAGAGAGGGCACCTGCCATCGCAGAAGTAGCCTGCAGCTCGGGCTCTGGCTCTGGTCCAGAGCCCTTCACAAAACGCAGTGGTGACAAGGTATTTTCCCTCGGGGCCAACTTTTTGGACTCGGGGCACAGCAATCGGGCCAAGGGTCCCGTGCAAGCGCGCGTCCCATTGAAGGGCGGCAGGAGCCTAGCAAAAACTCTCTCATGGCGTCGCTGAGCGCCGAGCTGCAGCAACTGACCTAGAAGGGCAGGCGAGTTCTACCCAAGATGCACGACTCTATCAGCGTCGTCGAGCCACGCGAGGGCAGAAACACTACGCCACCCAATACGACTCAACGACAAATGCATTCTCTGGATGGGCCCTCGCGAGCTCTTCCAAGTGACCCCTTCATCCATGGGGACAGCACGCCACATCTGACATATTTCCTCAATGTTGTAGTAGGAGGAGGCGGGGGAAGTGAGGGCAGTCCACACTATGTGCGCCCAGTGCAACGCTGGCGCAACTCCCGCCCTCCAGACAGGGTCCCCCAAGAGCGCTAACTTGGCGTGGAACGACACCCCGCGGTGATAAGGAGGTTTGTAAGTCAACATGACTCTTTGAGCTTCCTGAAGCTCAGTGTCGTTTAACCCTCCGACGGCAGCACCAAACGTAGCAGCAGGGGAAACACCCGCAACACAAATCTTGTCAATCCGCCCCTTTTGGCGAGGCAAGCGATCACGGTACCTTTTTCTGCATCTGCCTGAGACGCTGCCGACGTTTCCACCCCGCGTTTTTGGCCCCCCGTCGCTGTCCTGTCGCCAGGTCCGTGCCCAGCACCACCGCACTATTGGTGACAGTGCCCGCCATGCCGCCGAGCAGCCTGCCGAGCTTACGTGCAAGGGGCAACGAGCTAGCGAACGCGGTAAGCTTGTCCGCCTGCAACTGCACCTTCAAATCATCGCGGAAGATAATGTACATGGCCGCTGCAGC